AACTACAGACTTCCCAATAAATAAAGTTTTTGTCGCACTTTAATCACTAATTAATTGATCAATTGATTAATTTAACTAATTAATTAATTTAATTAAAAATATTTCAACTTTCCTCGGCAATGAACGGAATTCGATAATCGATCCTCGCGGAACAAACTGCTATCACAACCTGAATGACAACCCTATTGCGTATCAAAAGTTTCGAACCGACACGGTATGCAACAACGAAGTTTAAACAGTTTAATAATGAAGTTAGAATAGGTGTAATCGTAGAATATTTTCTGTGTGGGCGGACGAGATACGCTATCTTTGATGCACATCACTCTGATTGTCCCAAAATCCACTGCTGCATAACCACCGATATGCACCCTCATTCCAAGGAATCCTATATTCTTCTTATAGACTAAGTAAATTCAACTGCCTCCAAACATGCATTGTTTGATGTCTTTTTCTTTCTTCTTTGCATGTTGTTTAGTACATCACATTTTCATTAAATTGCATCCCCACTCTCATGAGGTTTTGCCTTTCTCCTAGATTTCATCTTTCTTTTAAACTGGGAAAACGCCCCAGATTGGTGTTATGTACTTAAGTGTAACTTATCTCTTTGATGTGTCGATAAATTTAAGCGACATTGTAGAACTTAATTACTTTGAATACTTTCAATATATGTTTCCATCACTATGGAAATGACTTCTTTGAGAGGAAAGACGCCTAGAAAATGTACATGGTGCTTTGGAAACTTGGTCCGTTCGGACTTTACAAGTCAAAATTTAGTTTTTCCTCTGAATCTTTGCAACTGTTACTTTGAAAATCATAACAATTTTTCCTGTCACCACTCTAAGGATCACCCTCACCTATTCAGCACAAAATTTAGCTACCTCTGTGAAACAAAGGCATGAGCTGAACTTTCCGAAACACATCGTTTGGTTGTCGTAGAATCAGAATTATGCGACCTATTAACCATTGACACAATCCGAATTCTTTTTTGCTTCGTTTCAATTTTATTCCCTTTTGATGTTCTTATCACGTTATTCTCTTATAAATAAAGCTTCATACTACTTGCAATCAGTAAGTAGTACATTTCATTTCACTTCATGCTGTTGCTTTATCTACCTGTTTAATTGTTCACTTTAATTAAAATACTATTTTGTTCATCATTTCTGAATTCTAGCATATTGATATCTTTCCCATTCCTTGGTTGTATTGTATCCTTTTCATCTACTTCCCTGGTATTCTATCATCTCTTGAGCATTAGTTGACGTTAAATCTTCTACTTTAACATACGTTTTTGACTGTTTGGACTGTGCTTTACCCTGTTGTTCATTTAGAAGATGTACTTCCTTTAAAGTGTTTTTAATAATGGCACTTCTTTCAACGCCACAAGATTCAAGATTTTTTATTTGTTAGTCACTACTTTTAACCATAAATACAATGGTTTATTTCGCACAGATTTCCTGGTTCGAATTTTACGAGTCAGTTGAGCATTTGGTTTACTTGCCCAAGAATCAACTGATCTTTTTCGTTTCGGATTACTGAGAAGGAATTCACACACATCCTGAACTGTTTCAGTATAATTACTTGACTTCTATCATTATAACTGCCCTCATTGATTTTCAGACACCTGATGCATATGATTTTATTCGAACTGTAGGCATTACCATCTACTTGGATGTTATATTCATAGCGACTTTCTCGAATGAGCTCTGCAGTGGAAGTGAAAGTGTCTTACTTACAATGCAGAACAAAGAATTCTGATCCTTCAGACAGAAGTACCAGTTTTCTATGAGATAAACTGTGTTTGTATTCTATCCTACTATCAGATACTAGAAACTCCACAATATTCACGCAATTCAATAGATAATATTCATTAATGGTATGCTACGGCTATGATTCTTTTAGGGACTAATCAGCTGTTATTAAACTTACCGGTCATCATTCGATAATACTCATCGGTCACCTGACCTCATTTTAGAAGTAAGTCCACCTTGAAATAGGTCATAGGAAAGTGAAACACCATTTATATGATTGGTAATCGACATTAACTTTGGAACTAGTGTTGACCATTCAGGATCTGACTTCACCTATTGTATATGCACTTGACTCTTCAGCTTCTGAGTTGTGTGTCATAATTCAAGGATATAGACTCTCATAGGAAAGAGATACAGACTAATCAATGAAATGGTGCTAGTCCTAGTTTTGTAATGTAACGTTTCCCCAAGGTGGTAAGTGACCACCGGTTCAGCTAGTTAACAGGACGTCAAATGTCACTGTCAATTTCAACTTGAAATCTAGGACTTCTACATATACAGCCTATCAACTTCAACATTAGGCAATCACGATTGGTTAAAACTTTGTAATCCTGTATCGGAAAATAGGTATTTTTGGAAAAGCTAATGATCTTCCCCACTAATTCGATAACTACTTCTTCTGAGATGCAAACATAGTCATTTGCTGTCGTAACCACCAAAGATGTTATTTTTTTCACTGCTAACGTCATCCAAGCTTTGCCAGTAGCTATCACTAATGTTCAGCATATTACGCAAAGTAATGTTCCCTCAAGTTGCAGCATCCATTATATCTGAACTCATTGGTCGTCTATATGAATCACTAAGTTCTATTTGTTGTGCGTGACTTCATCTGTGTCGTGTAGGATTGCCTAGTGTTTGGCGAATGCATCGTTCTAACTTAAGCTCTCTGTACTAAATTCTTTAAACAGTTGCACTTTGGGCACACAAAAATTTAGTCCTTGAAGTCACTCTTCCACAGCTTTACATATTAGTAGATAAGCATTTTTTATGTCTTGGTAGGAAATTTGCGCAACCTCAGAAGGTGGAAAACTATCCCCCTCATCTACCTTATATAACAAGACCAAAGTACACGATCATCTGCCTACCATTCATATTGATTCTTCTTGTCCCAACAAAATAATATGGCATCTAGTCTCCACATTTACCTGATAAAACCTGTCTAAAACCTTGGTAGCGCTCTTACCAGCAAAGTCAGAAATCTACAGATCCTGTCTGACATCGAATGGTAATCCTCTGAAACTAAAGTAACCGGTAATGTTTCACGATATAGATCTCACTAAATCCAAGATTTTTTCGATCGTAATGCAATCATTCAGCTGCGTGTGCCACCACGAAATCCTTAGTCAAGGTCTTAGCTGATCATTTTGTAAACACTCTTAAAAGAACTTTAGTTTAAGTAAAGCTGTGGATACCACTTGGAACTATTTCCTCGTGTAGACTACTACTCCGAACTAGATGGCACCGAATGCAAACATAAACTATTCACAGTACTATTTCACCAGAAAAGATTGAATATCTTGGGTGGTTAGCAAGAAGGTAACAACTTGCACAGCGGGTTTGTGATTAGACACAAGAACAACGAGTTTGAATGGGGAGATTCATTGTGATACACCGTCAGACTATGGTTGACATTACTTTTGGAAGTGATATATAAACTCTTTGCATCAATCAGCTGGGTTGATGACAAAATACCATTGCAGCCAAGCTTGTATCTATCCTATTTTTAGATTTACTTCCGAAAATCTTCCGACCAAAACTGAGTGACACCAATGTGTTATATAATAATCTGTGGAAGCAGTGTACTTATTCCCGACTCATATGAACTTCTTTCAAAGAAGACTGTCATATCGACAGCGCTAAATAACGTCTAGATTTCCGGTAGATCTGAAAAGAATGAGCTACCAGTATCGTCTGAACAGGATATGTGCTAAGAACAGACATCATACTCGGTAATTTACTTATTTTGTTGAGTCTTTTACCCTTCCGACTTTCAAACTTCCCCCACACATTCTTACTGTCCTCATTCTTTCTTTAATGGTGGTAAAATTTCCCAAATACATGCAATACGTAATGAATCATTACTATTATATGTGCCAGATGTTGGTTCAATGAACGAAGATTCTGTAGTCAGTCTCCCTCCCTCCATCTAACTTGATTGGCTTTTAGAACTGCCACCTTATTCCACCATATAGTGTGATTAAGAGTCAGTGTATGGAGAGCGACAGCTCAGTTTTCCCCTACATTGCTCATCTTAGTAAGGTCTATTGTTTTACGTTTCGCTAAATTTTTGTGCTCCACAATCCCACCTGACAACAACCAGCTACGCTGATCTATTTACTTGACCTCACAATTATTACATGGTATTTGATCACTTAGGTTGTTTGGCTTAATTGTATCTACTGAATCTTGTAGCCTAAAAGGTTTCTGTCTGAATTTATGGGTTTGAATACCACCCTGATATTGCATCACTGTGTCCTATTTCAAATAAACAGCCGAATACTGAATATCTTATTTCACCCGATTTTGATTAACTGAAGTAACCATCCTACTACACATATGGTATAAATGCCTCGCAATTCAATAGTCATTTCGAGGCTTGCATACTAGACTAAAGGTCGAATGTAACGGCGCTATATTACTACTTGACTCCATATACCTCGGGAATTGAAGCTGGATCAGAATCGCTAAACATCGAAAATCCACAGCAATCGGATACAGCTTTACTATATCAAAAATCCCAGGATTTCAGTTTTCAGGACAGCTCCTGGTGGAAAAATTAGACATTTGAGGCTGGAAAGCGGAAAAATTAAGTATTCATAGGGCTATTTTTAACTGAGAAAACGAATCATTTGTAACTTAAATCCTGCCAGTTGTATTTTAACAAAAGTATATCAGCTATCTGTTAAAACGGTTTGTTTTTCAAAGCTTATTAATTAACAATGAAGTGTTTCAACCAATTAAGTATCAGTTAGGCAATACTCATATCAATAAAGAGAGCGTTTCAAAAACCTAACTCTCCTTCGGTCTCACCAATGATGTACCGGGAAAGACTGCACAGTTAGCACATCATGACTACTGAAATGAATGTTCACAACTTACGTCACTCTCCGTTTATAAACTACTTTAGTCCATTCTAACAAATACACTGTATGAGTATTGAGCAAGTAGATGAAGTAACATAACACAACAAATGTATGCAATAATGTGTGTATTTTTTGATGAAGCTAAGGAAAAAATACAAAACTTGTGTATGTTTATAAAAACAAAAAGATAACACAAGAAAAAGTAACAAAACTTTATATGAAAAGCGGTAATTATAATTGAAGCAGTTTAAGGAGATAAACAAGGGAGTTTCTTTATGCAACACTTTATTCATGAAATTTAGAAAAAATCAATAAAAGTAAGTGCCTTTTAAAAATATGACAGTCAGGCTGTAAGGAAATAAAATTTCATTGATGATCTTATGATGATGATGATGATAACGATGATGATGATGAAACTGATGGTGACGATCATGCTGTTTTTGATGTTGGTGAAAGTAGTGAACGAATAATAAATGCGACATCAAATAAACTAAATGAAACAAGATTAAGAGAAGCCAGGAAATAACCGAGCATGGCTTTTTGTTTTTATATATTTGTTCAGTTTGAGAACAAACTAAACTGTGTTTTAGATGATCATGAAGTTTTGTCTGCACCTCTGGTATTTTATTTACCTTTTACAAATGCTTGTGTATACCCATGTCTCAAGGGATAGTTAAAGACACGGTATGAATGGTATAAACTGGGAAAATGGAAAAAATTTCCTGACCTTCCTTTATTTTGTTCATAATAATGTGTTCTTATTGATATTAAGGAATGAAAATATCTATTTCTAAACTTATGACCTAATTAAACAAATATGCATATTCATCCAATGATTATGTCAATCAGATTGCCTAATTAAGCTGTAACAACTTATTGAGGTGGAATGCAGATTGTTTTAACATGTAATGATAATTTGAATGGATAGTAGACAAGTTAAAGTATACATCTGATGTACAAAAAAAGATTTCTTTAGATTTCTAACTTGACAAACTTTTCACTTCCACATGCTTCTGGTGAATGTGTAGACGACAAGCAAAATGATGTACCCCTCTTAAGAAGAAAAAACAAAAGAAAAAAGCATCAATGTAGAGCGATTGTTTTGACTGTCATTGGATATCAGTATTTCAAAAAGTCTATCAAAAATTAATCATCTTACTTAAACAGTAATACTTGTTTAAAGACTATTTTTAAGAAACAGGTTTCTAGAAAGTTACTTATAACTTATTTCACTTTCAAGTGTTGTGCGGCTTTACTTTTATCCCGATACTTAAGCGAACATTAAAATCCTTATAAATGGTCAGCCAATACTGAAATAACAGAGAAGTAATCTCTCTGACCATAAGTTTATTTAAAGCTCTGGAAACTACTTGTCTAATGAATCGGATCAAAGTAATTGACCAACTTTGTAGGTTTCTTCTTCATTATCCCCAACTAATTACAATTCATTACATTTTATAGCCAACTTACTCCTAATGTTGTTATTTGATTACTCGGTTCTGAGTTAGAGTCTTGGTTGGAAGGTAGGTAAATCTAGCTAACGAGTCTAACACAGGACGAAACACGCGTCCTGGAGTCCGCTACTAGCTACTGTCTGTCAATAATGTGATTTTTGCTAAATCATTTGCTAATTTTCAGTTTCATTGTGTACAGTACTGTTTTCAGATCTGTGATACTTATGAAATGCATATGAGGTTTGCGGTTGTTATTAGTATCGGGTCTGACTTTTATAGCCAGAATCTGCTTCCAACATTGGCAAATATCACTCAATCCAATGGCTTGAAACTTTATTACTGAACCATTTAGTGTGAAATAAGACCACTGACGTCAGGAAATAGTTCTGCTGTTTCCTGTATCTGTTCACTGTTTTTAAATAAATAAACTAAGTATAAAAGTGCATCAACAAAATTTTATTGTAATCAAAATGAAACCACAACCGGTCGATCCATTTAAGAATTTCTAATATCATTTGTGTAAAAGAATGTAAACTCAGTGACCAAAATCCTCAAAATAGCAATAAAAATTGGTTATACGCATCATGGTAAAACGGCGTAAAAGAAGATGAACTCCGGTAAAGATTTCGCAGCTTTTATCACTCTTATTTTATTACCCCGAAATCTTAATTAGCCTTCAGCTTGTTTGTTTTCCTATGCATCACTGTAGTATACCGACGCGGACATTTTGACAGCTTTTAAATGAACCATTTAAAACCAGAGAGCACTGCATAGTTGTTTCGTCCTAGGATTGGACTCCTCCGTAGTGCACAAGCATGATGACGCCCCACAGTCCTGTATTAGGATGAAACAACTGTTCAATACTCTCAGGTTTTCAATGTTTCTCCAACTGATCTCACTCCGTGATAAATACTACCTCAAAATCAACATCGCCAATCACCTCAAAATACACTACTGTATAGTTCCCATTGGTGAAACGCTTCCAGACAAATATCCTGAGATAAATGTCCAATGAAAAGCTATGACCTGTAGATCCAACTAATTGGAAGGAAAGTGGATGCCAACTGAATGAATACCTTGGGTGATAGTCATGCTATATCGAGATTTGACAGGAGTTGTAAACTGTTGAAGTCCGACCTAGTGGTTGAATGGTTGAGGCGTTCGCCGTGAAACCTGTAGGTACTGAACTGCATCGCTAACCGGCTTTTGAAGTTTATTGCTGGAGAGTTGCATGCTAGGACGAGACGGCTGTCGATTACTCTCGTGTTTTGAGTGGTTCTGCAATTGATATCAGTCGATGTTGAATGCTAACTTGAAATCCATAAATAAATCCCTGTAAACCTTGAAAAGGAGTTAAGTTTTACGGAGTTTTGAATGGCATATCCATAAAATACTCTCCACAACAAAAAGTACTTATTTGTCATCAGCTTATGATTAAACTTCTTAGAACCATTAAATCTCAGTAAATTCCATGTTGGTGACATTCATAATTAAATAAAGTAAATGGCAAGTCGTATAAATCTAAGGGAACAGAATCACTGGTCAGCACCAGCTAATTCAACACTGTAATTTCTCACAACTATGTATAAATATTCGGATTGAAAAACTGTTTATAAACAATACATATATACTGATCTTGGTGACTAACTGAGGAATCCAGAACGCGCGTTCCATCCTATTCGAGACTCGTCAGCTGGACGTACTTGCAACCCAGTGAGTGCTGTTGTTCGAATCCAGAACCCATCTTTTCAAACACCTAAGCACTATTCACTAAGCCACTGGGATACTGCATCCACCTCTTGTTCAACAGGTATCAGTTATTGCTTTGATATGTGTAAAAACTGGAAATTACAAGTATCGTAACAACACAGATAGACATACACTCTCTTTTGTAAAAAGAAACTCATTAAACTTACTAAGTGCTTCGTTAGTATAGAATGAACACCGTCTGATTCATCATAACACTTCTTTTTACCATCCAAGCAATTATGTAGTAATTCTTCTGATAACAGAAGGTTTTCTGGAAGATTCGTATGACCAGTTAACTGGTAATTACATAATGCAGAGTTTTGGGATACATTTCGATGAGTTATAATCGATGGTAAATTGGATCGTGATAATGAGTCAAGTAAGTTGGAATTGTGATCTATTAAATCGGTTGATTGATTATCATTTGTACAGTTTATATTATTATTATTATTACCATCACTATTTGTATCACTGTTAGCATTAGAAGTAAGATTAAAATAGGCTGCAGTATAAAAATTCGATGTATTAAAATCATGCATAAAGTTTGTTGCTCCTGTTGTTGTTGTTGTCGTCGTTGTTGTTGTTGTCGCGGTTGTCAGTGTAATTTGAGGAAGAATACATGGATTAAATGTAAGCGGTTTTGTATGCAATGAATTGTCTGAAATCAATGCAGTTGTAGTAAATGCTGATGAATGGTTGTCATCTGTACCGGACATTGGACTTGAATTATTCATATTCTGATGCATATGAATTTGATGAGGATGATGATGCTGTTGATGATGATGATGCTGGTTGGAAGAGGGAGCGTGTGATGGATGAGAATGTTGTGAGTGAAGATGATGGTGCTGATGTACTGGAGATGATGATGACAATGACTGTGGTAATTGCTGAACTAATGTATAAGGATCGATCATATCTGATGTAAGTTGTAGTGAATTATTGTTATTATTATTACTGATGGTCAGACCTTGATGAGGTGGCTCATATATTTGATCTGTATGGGATAACTGACCAGATCTCATACTAGGATCTATTTCATATGACCAGTTGGTATCAATATGATTGGCTCCATTATAAATGAATCCACGATGGTTAGTGTTATTTGTAGAAGGAGCAGTTGTTGTTGTGGTTGAGTTAGCAGTAGTACTAGAGGATGATAAAATGTAAGCGGCCATATTTTGCATAATATTTGTTTGATGATTAGAGAAATTACGAGATAAATTTGAATTAAGTAATTCATTGTTTATTGATGCATTCATATTGGAAGAATTAAAGTATTCTTGATTCAGTAGACCTACTGGTTCATCTACATTCCCTGTACCGTTAAATCCCATCGCACCGGTAGATAACGTAGAATTAGGTTGAGAATCAGTAGAATCACCACTGAAGTGATAAGTTTGTTGGCAAGTGTTCAGTAGATTAACCCTTTCACGTCTAAAACAAACAAAAATGAGTTTTAATTGAACTGAGGGAGTTGTAGAACTTGAGTTTTATTTGAATGACTGTCTTTATAAACTTTTCGCATCACTACCGTATTACCTTGAAGAAAATTACATTATTTTCTTTTGAAAACATCTTACATCTCAAGTGAAGCCTGTTCAGACAACCTTTGAGAAATAGAAATAACTCAACCCACTTTCTCGAGTCTTTCAGTAATTAATGAAGCCTTTGCAATAAGGCTCGATAATAAGAAATAATTCTAAAAGTCTAAATAAAAACATTCAAGTAAGCAAGATATTCGTTTTCCTATATAGATCTGCAGTTGTACGCTTTGTAAATGGCTGTGAAAATTATGGCTCATAAAGAAATACGAAATCAAAATACCGAGAGTGCTGGATGGCTGAGGATTTGAATATTTTCCATAGGTGTGCAGTGCTCCTTCAACCTAGTCTTATTTCAAGCTCTATGATATTTCATGATATCATACTGCCACAAATCTGCGTAATTTACAAATCGCTATCTAGATGTTTATTATTGTAAACCTTGACTATTTGCATTCACTCAAGGAAGAAATGTTGGATACTGAAATAAATCACTGTATGATTGATTTCATGAAGCCTGTGGGTAAATATACTACTTAAATACCAAAGTTCCCGTCATTTCTCTAAATAGTCGGCTTATTTTATACTTCACTGTTGCATAAGTTTGGCATTTAAATATTTACCACTAAAATATGAATATGGAATTTACATGGCTAACACTAACCACACTTCAAATATGCTAAACGTTGGGAGTAGTTTCCTTATATCCTGGTGTTTCTGGGATCAAGAATAAATAATGTTTACTTCATTATGTATTCGGATGGAAATTACCGAAGCAATTCTCTACATCAAAACTTCAGGAAGGTAAGAAATAACTACTTAACTCAATAAAAATTACAACTGACGCTGAGCTACAAACATGATCCTCATAGTGATTGGTAGTCTTTACTCAACAAATCAACACATCACCGTGCAATGATCTTGTTCTGTTAACACTATCCTGCATTAGTGACCTTCAAAACATTCTCAGACATCAATAAAGGTGTGTGTGGTTACAACACGAAGAGTAAAGTAGTGAGTTTGATAAACTCTAAGAAACAAGTTACAGGTGTCGTTGGAAAGTTAATGAAGTCCTTTGATAGGAGAATACACTACAACTTTTCATTACAGTCCAGTGCAAAGTGAGTTCATAGTCACAAAGTGCTTCTGTTTCAACACAAAAACATATATCTCTTAGCATCCCTTAATAATTTGCATATGCCATTGAATTGAAACAATGAATCACTAACAGCAAGGAGATATGTTTTCAAATTTATTTGCTTTTATTAATAAATCCATATCACCTTTAGAAATGAACTATTATTTTGCTTCGTCAGTGATGAAGTTAATTTGTCTCCAAGTTAAACATCTTGAAGACTGATGGGAATCGACTGATTCTAAGGGGGTTTTCATCACGCATAGATATAAGCTAAATGAACCACTGAAAACGAACGATTTCTAAGTAGCCATTTCGTCTAACTGTATGGGCCTGGTCAGCAGTGTTGACTAAAGTTAATAAACTGTATTTACTGTTGGGGGAACTGATAATGGTTTTAAAAACTATCTACTAACTGTCATTAGTAGTTTCTGAAAGCTGTTAGCAATTATTTAAGCCAAGCATTAAACATAACAACTCTTAGAGAAATTTGCAAGTGAGGGAATTTTAAAATGTCTATAGTTCACACAATAACTGTCAAGCGGAAATGTGAATTTATTTAGTGATACCCGAAATCTGCCTTAACTTTCTTATCCCACTATACTTACATTCATTTATCCATGCTTACATAATTAATCAATCTGTGTTCTTAATCTAAACATACTTCATTTATAACGGTTTCGAAAATTGTCACTGAAATACCTTTTCTTCAATCAACAAATATTCTTTTATGCTAAGTAATTTACCCAATTTCTTGATTCGCTTCTAGCTGTCGGTATTGATACTTAAAGTGGGATAATCATAAGATCAATAGTGCTTGTATGAAATGAATTTGATAAGGGTGATTATGTAGAGGAACAATATAGGGACGAAAATTTCAGTTTCTTTTACACTCACAGTTGTACCACTTTCAATTCTAAATCAAGATGCTTCAGTCAAAGAAGAATCAAACTACAGATGTATTAACAAGCTGGAGTCTGATTTGACTGAAATCATTTTATTCAACATTATGACAGATAAACTTTATTTTTAGTTTATACCTATGAACATGAGACTATTTTCTGATACATTTATACTTTGACAAAAATCGATCTTATCTTTTGGTTGACTGCAGGTGAATAATCTTATGACTAATGTAGTCTGGCTAGTAAAAAAGTAATACAAACCCATGAAATTCTGTATATCAACATGCATTTTACCTATGTGCTTCTGTGTATATATATGTATAGATATATATGCTGCATGCAAGCTTACGAACAGAGCAGCGTACAGGTAAGTGGACAGATAAACAGCTATATATATATATATATATATATATATATATATATATATATATATATATATATATATATATATATATATATATATATATATATATATATATATATAAGGGAGAGACAATACATTTACTGCATGCTCACACAAATATTGATGATATACCTGAGTCCATTATCACAAGGTGAATAGTTTTTAGCTTGAGGTCATGTCAGTGTGTCTAATTTACCTAAATTAACTTTAATAACTATCTACATTTAGATCACAGTGAATGATTCACGCGATTATAACTATCACCACAACTAATACCACTACTACAGATTATATTGGTAATGTCTCTTGTTTATATTGCCTGTATTTTACACATTTATTTATTTTAATTAGGTTTTTTCTTTGTTGAATTTTATGAGTGAAATTTCTCATCTTGTGTGACTAGTATTTCGTTTTGTTCTAGGTTAAAATATGAAGACTGTTTATCGCTATTATTATTATTATTATTATTATTATTATTATTATTATTATTACAATTATTACTGTCCTTAGTTTCATTCTGCACTGTTCTACCTCATTCAGTCCACCTACAACCCTCTTCAGGAAGTTTATGTGCAGACTTATCCATTTTAAAAAAGTTGAAGTACGTCATAGTAGTAAAATTATCCTTTTGAACAGGCTAAACTGAGTTTGTTCTTATTTTCATAGTCGACCCTTGAATGAAATGAAAAAAAAGTGAAGGAGACTCTCATTCCTGGCAGATTTTTGCATGAGATATCTATGTTCGCATGATTTCTTTAATATACTACACATTTTTTTCGCAAGGATATATTCTAATTTCAGTGGTACAAAGCCAAGTTAGTCACAAAACACCTATACATATTTCTTACGACATAATCTAGTCTTGGTGAAATGAATATGTAACATGGACGAAGATCTTACAAATCACTTACTGACTTCATTGTCAGTATATATATATATTCTAAACAACATTTGTTTTCAATAATTTAACTCTCGTTTCAATAAGATTTCTGTTCAAAGGAATCCTACCTAGACTACAGATAATGACCTCTGGTACAACACTTTAGTGAAATGTTAGTATTTACTTAGTTGGAGGTTTATGAAGATTTCTGTTTTTGAAATAGTGTGCATTACAGACTGATAACAGCTGGAAAACCATTGAAAACCTGGGAACACTGCACAACTGTTCTGTCCTACTACAGAACTCCTCAGTAGTACGCATCTACAACTTCGGCAGGGATCGAAACCGGGACCTTCAGGTTTCACAACGAACGCGTTAACAATTCATCCACTGGGTCGGAGTTTAACGGTCTACAGTTCTCTACTTCTGTCAATCATAACTATCTATCAAGGTTTTCAGATGGCATCGACTTCACCTCCGACTAGTATCAGTTTAAATTTGTCATTGATTGTATACTTATTATGTGCACTATAACTAACATCCTGATAACTTAAAGTGAAGAAGAGAGAAACATGTACCCATGCTACGTCCAAAACCCAGATTTTAAAACATGGCGTCATAATAGTATGAATGCATTACAACGCATAAAAACACCAATCACGTAACAAACAAGTATTATGTGTATTCCGGTATGTCAGTATGTAAGTAAGCACGGAAATTAATTTACTGCGGATTCAGGTTTTCAATGTTTCTCCAACTGATCTCACTCCGTGATAAATACTACCTCAAAATCAACATCGCCAATCACCTCAAAATACACTACTGTATAGTTCCCATTGGTGAAACGCTTCCAGACAAATATCCTGAGATAAATGTCCAATGAAAAGCTATGACCTGTAGATCCAACTAATTGGAAGGAAAGTGGATGCCAACTGAATGAATACCTTGGGTGATAGTCATGCTATATCGAGATTTGACAGGAGTTGTAAACTGTTGAAGTCCGACCTAGTGGTTGAATGGTTGAGGCGTTCGCCGTGAAACCTGTAGGTACTGAACTGCATCGCTAACCGGCTTTTGAAGTTTATTGCTGGAGAGTTGCATGCTAGGACGAGACGGCTGTCGATTACTCTCGTGTTTTGAGTGGTTCTGCAATTGATATCAGTCGATGTTGAATGCTAACTTGAAATCTATAAATAAATTCCCACAAACGTGAAAACTGAATACTTTAAATATATGTGGTCTATATTACACGACTGATTCGGCTAACAATAAAGGATTCGATAACTACTATGACTTGCTTCAGAACTAAAACAACAGATCTTTCCGGTAATTTGAAATTTTCCACCTGAGAGTTCCAATCGTTAATCGTAAAAAGAATAGGGATAATTGGTATCAGGTGTACATATTTCAGAACTATATCTTATTCAGGTAAAGTATTTATCAAAATTCAATCAGTTTGCAAAGGGTTTGTCTGGCTACACCCATTATTTTTGAAAATTCTTCATCAAGTATCCATCTGTTTCTTTCATGAAGCACTTTCATTCCTTCATCTACATTTCAACCCATTTTTTTTATGAGACGATTACTAGGAAATAAGTATTTGAAAATTGTTACGAAAAAATAACTTACACTAAAGCCGCCAGATGTGATTCAGTTCTAAGCCAATGATTCAAAGTGCTTCCAATCATCGCACGATTATACGAATTTGGATAGTGTCCTGATGCTGTTGGATAGTATCGACTCTCTGAAGTATCCGATCGTTTATCTGTAGCATTTTTACCCAACATCATACCTGCATTCAAACTATTCCCAGTACCTATCGAATTGTGATTATTAATGTTATCACTTTTAATTTCTTTTCTGTTATCCAGATCACTTATCAGTGGTGACTGTTTAATCAGTGTGTGATACTGTTGTTGGTAATGATGTTTAGCCAATGAATATATCCAAGTACGCAATAAACCATAACGTACACTGGACAGTGTTTCAACAGCACCGGGCAAATTTGTTGGAACCAATAGTAAGTTATACGATTCACCATTGAAATGAATAGTATTTTGTCCATAACCATCATAATCGTTTTCTTGTCCATAGTAATCTAATAAATCATCTACTCCATTCGGTTCACTTGGGCATTTTTCATCAGTCATTAGATGTTCATGATTTGGTGATATCCAGTTGTGTTCACGTAAGAGATTGACATCTTTATCATAAATTAATCCAGTGTTATTCTGACTATTCGTATGCGTATTAGTGTTCATATTACTAACTGATGATGATCTTTGATTTGAGCGTAGACGTTTGCCTTGACGGTCACCACGATCGTCTAAAATGTATAGGAAAGGAACTCATAATATTTTCTTCCTGAGGTCACCTAATTTAATTGTGAACTTTAGGGTAGAAAAATATCGACATAAGGAATATCTTTTTACACTCGGTCCTGATTAAATATAGGTGCCTATCACACAAAGAAACGAGCACATGAAATGACAGTACGTCAGATAACTGTATCATAGATATGATTTGATTCCTTCATATGTGCAACAGTAAGCTATTAACTCTAGGTACTTTCAAGTATTTGGAAAGTAAATGAAGACAGAAGAACTGGTGTCATTATCTATAGTGTAGCAGCAAATTCAAGTTGAAACACCTAAAGATAAGTTCACTAAGAGGAGAGACGCTTACACTTGAGTGTTCTTTGGGAAAAAGTTTCAGTTGAACTTTCCGTTCATTTACGAATGTTTAGACACATACAAATGACTTAAATCGTATGTAGGTACGGTTATATAAATTAACTGAAAGATATACAGAGATAAAAGAATATACACGAAATTCTAACAGATAATGATTTAAATAAGATATACGAAAGACAAATGTTGCGATAAACAATGATTCAGTTAAAATGATGCCATTTTACTTCAACCAGCATCAACTTATGTTGCTCAAAAATTGTGGAGATAAAAGATTTCTCATTAAAAAAGATAGACTTTTATTATATTGAATTAACCATTGTTCTTGTATTCTAAGGCATCGTAGACCTGATAGGACAGCAACATTTTTTAATTAGGAAAATATCAAACGATGAAGTTGGGTGTTTTATTAGTAGCAGATGAGTTTAAAATGTCATATCATTGGGTCAGTTTGCATCCAAGTTGAGCAGACTGAACATAATCTGTTGATCTTTGATATTTTAGGTAGTGTGCAGAGATTAGTCTGTATAAAAGTTAAGTTCCCAGTTAATGTACTGAGTGCTAACTGAGCATGGTATCCTAGCGTATTCGCTATAAGTTGATAGTAAAAGCAACTTTAAGAAACGGAAAACAATTTTTAGACATATAGTTGATCGAATTTAACTAGCGGTTTGTCGGAACCGATCGGTTCCCAAGGCAGTATTCATCGTAGGCTGACATCAGTTGGAGGACCCCTGAACGTCAATAAACTGCTCATTATTCACCTCCTTTGAGACAGATTTATCGAATTTTTAATGAGAAACTGTGACCTGCTGGGTCAATCAAATACTCACAAAATGATAGAAGTAAGAAAATGCGAACCGCCTGATTCTGACCCAGTGGCTAAATGATGATATGCTCATCATAGCAGCTGATAATCTTAGGCTCAATCCTTTGCCTGTGTCAAGTGTGCACTGCCTAGGACCCTTATGTTATAGCTAAACAGTTCTCCGATGCTCCTTGCTTTTCAACGGTTCTACGAGTGACTTCAAACCATGATGAATACTACCTTTATAATGAATTGAAGTTTACTGAAACAAACTGTGTACCGGTGGGTTTGATCTCTCGAATTTGACAAATGACGTTGAGCTTTCAGACACAATCACTTAATAATTCCTTTACAATGGCATCTATCATGAATCTATTTTGGGGAAACAGAAGTGCAGTCAATAAACTTTAGATACATTAAACATTTCGTCACATGCAGTTCGCGCTTATTAGGACATGATTGTGGAGAGTCTTTAGTCAGTTAGTTAATAAGAATATAATCTTTCAGTAGCTACTTTTAAAGCATTTCATCTTTCCCGTTAACGTTAATTTTAAGCAGTGTGACATATTAAAGCTAAGTTTTTATTTGTTACTCAGATGATTTTGAATAAAGAAATGGCTTTTTTCGTCAATCTTTTTAATGTACAAAGTTTAACTTAAACTTGTTTAATTACTTGGTTCTTTTCTACGTTTACCCAATGATGGTGTGCTTATCAATAAAGAATCTCCAGTACGTCTTTCATTATTTTCCTTATCTCGTTTTGGACAGGCACAACTTCGAAATTTGATACATTGACGTCCAAGTACTTCACAGTGTCCCTTGCTTGGGTCAGATCTATTTAAAAGAAAAGATGTTGAAATAAAAACTTTCATTGTTGGAAGAAACAGTCAACAAGCGATTAATGATAGTCAGCAAAAAAGGAGGCCATAGAAAAATTAACTCGCAATACTTTATATAATATTTATCCGTATTACCAACTTGCCTATATAATAGTAGTAACTCTAAAACTACTCTACAGTCTTACTCCATATCCAGTGGAATATATTTCTGGTATAATATGTCTAGCTAGGTAACTCTAATTGTGAAACTTTTCAAACCAAAGAACACAAAACAGTGGTCTTGTCAGTTCTTACTGGTTAACATACCCCTTACTCTAGAGATCCAGTTTCCAATTTTCATATCTACTGATAAATAAATTGCCCTTGAATAAATTAACCTAATTTTAAGCAACCATTTTGTGCATCGACTAGAATCCAACACAGTGTCGTTGGTAAATGTTCTGTTCAATACTTCAGGTCATATTTACTTTCTGGAAGATCTGATGAAATGTCGTATTCCCTAAAGTAAGCTTAGGGGATTTTCAGGACTCGATCAATTATGAAGATACTCATTTATTCATAAATATATGACAGATATTTCAGATGCACTGAAGCTCATTTGGATTTGTTGATTCAGTTCATCGCTTTAACTAAAGAGATTTTCAAAACTTTGATTATTTAGGTTCTGCTGTAATTTCTTTATCCTCAGAAGATACAATAGTTTATAGCCTTATTTATCTACACTTACATGCACCTTTATTAAAATAGCTTGTGTCACTTTTAAATTATTTCTAAGCATTTTCTATTGACAGTGTTTTTATAATTTATGTGTATTGTGTGTAACCCCTCACTTCATATACCAACACACACTGTCTGATTCATATACCCGCACAAATAAACTTCTAAACTATAACTATCGTCATTGTTTTAGTGAATTTCTGTCTTGTGGAAACAACACAGAATGTTCTTTTCTGCTATATAAGAATTTCAACTTTTACTACTTCTGATATTATTGCTATAAGAACCCTAGTTATTGTGTATCCCCTGTGACCAGACAAATTGACTTTCTCTGTTTACGCTTGAAATCAAATGCATACTGTGAGTAATTCAATAAACACTGTTCCTCGCACGATTATTATCATTCTATTGTTTTGTTTTTGGCTAGTTAATAATAATTTGGGTTAGTTCGGGTCAAGTCTGGTCACCATATGGTCTCCGCACCTTGTGAGTAGGACAAAAAGGAGGGTTGTAGACTAAAAAGTTCAATAACTTCATTGGCATATATATTATGTAGAATGATAAATGTGTAACCTGACTGAGAACTGACCTTAGTTACTAAGCCGTTCCACTATGCTAGAAATGCACATGCGGATATTCAGTTTTTATTGTTTTAATACCCTACGATGTATAATTATGTACGACGTTGTGTTGAATTTGATGAATGCCTAACTCCCCTCCCTTCTGTCACACACATACAAGTACACTCTTTCCAGGGAGTAAAACTATCTACACATGGTCACAAATTTACAAAGCTATATTTATTCACAGTCGCATAAAAGCGTTTCCTGCACACTTTCGCTTCTAAGTTAGATAAAGGTTATGAGAATAGAGAATTTTGAAACATGCTGAAGCATGTCATTGAGAAAGATCAGCAGGTACGATTATCACTTCTCTGTTATCATCGTCTTCATCTTTTAAATTCAACATAGATACGAAGGCACACAAAATTACGAGCAGTTTCATCTCATATATATATATATATATATATATATATATATAAACTGTTCAGGAAACAGGCAACATTCCATGCTCAGTATTGGTACGAGGAAAAAACAAAAGACAATTTAAAAAACCCGACGTTATTGTTTGTAATTTCTCGTCGCTGACTGGACAGAACTAATCAGTTCCTGTTGACATACAGGCTCCTGCGCGGATGCCTTGATTCACAGGAACACTGAAAATCTAAACCACTGAACAATGGTTCTTCAAGTTATCTAATTAATAGTAAAAACATTTCACCTTTAGATACATTATTCAGTTATCAAAACCACATTGTATAGCGTTCACTTTAAGCCCTTAAGGGCTATATATCTAGAAACCCTTAACAAGTGTCCAGCAGTCTGTTTTGAGATTCATAGTCTCACTTTTTGTAAGGATTAGATAGGTTAAATTTTTTTAATTTAGTACTGTGAAAAGCAAATTCATATGTAGAGGAGAAATGACAGGTACATTTTACATTACGATTTTATAGATCCGATGAATTAAATTACTATTTACATCCACATTCAAATGTGTAAACCACTGTCGTGAAACTACTTTTTATGTGCCGATGTCTTGACTCACCCCGTTAATAAGCGTTCTAAAGTGATTATCAGAAACAATGGTTTCTTATTGCCTTGACCACCATTGTACAGACAGCTGTTGAAGCACATGAATTTCCCATTGAACTGACTATATTCACACCCCTCTACAATTAAAAAAGGACAGGATACACAGTAATGACGAAATCGATCGTTAAGCAAGTCATCATAGAATCTGAGTTACACATATTATAAAGCTGAAGGTTCTCTTCAGTAATTGAATGCTACAAAAAATACCACAAACCTCCACGGTGAATATATTCTGTATTATAAAGTAGTCTACTTATATAAATTGACAGTAGTATAAAGTGTAGACAAAGTTTTTAAGAGTTGGGATTCGATTGATAAATGTGAATTATACTTCTACAGTTCAAACTATAATCTGTATACTGTCGCCACGGAAAATGAATTTATATGTTCTGAATTTAACTATAAATATACTTCGTCAATATAAGACTATGGGAAGAGTTTGAAGCTATGAGTTAATGATCCAAGTTAGATGACATCCCATCTAACTGTTTCATGTTGACAACTTGTAGCATTGAATCCGAAGGCATTGCTTGTTATTCACAAGGTAATTTACTCAGGGAATTTTTTCTTCAAATATGACCTTCGAAATTAAATATCCTGGGTTTATTTTCTAATCCCACTTTAGTTATATCTAGGCTTCTTATTTTCCGAAGTAGGTAACGCTGAACTAGAAAAACATAATCAGATTACATGAGCATTATTATTTGATGATAGTTATAAATCTCCGTTGTTATGCTGAACCGAACTGATCGACCTTTATTGGCATACAAGCTTTTGTACGGGTGCCTTGATATTGCCAGGTTATTTGATGTTATAACTGACTTTGTTGCGGCTAGCAACGGGATCCATGACGCTTGCTTCGTCTTATTCGGGACTCTTCTGCTGCATGTACCTGCACCCCAGTGAGTGATGTTGTTTCCTCAGAGACTTGGTGAGTACGATGGTTGAGTCTCAATGAGCCTCAAAGAGGTCAATTATTACATGAACATGTCCCCCTTTATGAACATGAGAAGAGTAAGAGCAACAAATTGTAAATATGAACATGATATCCGATTCTGCCGCCTTCTTGTCAGCTGTTTTTAATTTCATTCAATCAACATGTTATTCTGCTTAATTTTTTATTCTTGCTCCTCTCAAGAACGAAACTTTTCTAACTTTTCCAACTTGATGTTTGCATCAGTATATAAGTAATTTAGAACATAATTTCAGCAGGCTTATAAAATGAAAACGAAACTTTTCTGAATGTTTCGTCGTCTGTACCACAGCCTATTCAGTAGAATTTACAATAAAATTATCTGACCAAAGTCTACCAAACCAAGCAGCAGCATATTTAATCTTCACATCATATTGACTACCAGCTAGAAACCCTAAGTAGCATATTTGGATATACGGTGGGTGTCAACACGTAAAAAAATTAGAAAACAGATGGGAATTTGGGATTTTTATTTTTATTGACCAAAATGTGTCATTAAATCCTAACTTTCTAACGGAATTATCATGAAGAGCCTCCAAAGAAACCATGAAATTCATTCAAGTGAAATAATGGTGTGGTTACTAAAGAATAACAAGTGAACTGCTGATCAGAAGGCTCTCTACCATGTTTTGAATCAAGGAGACGTATACACACAAATACTAAATATACTTAAAGCATGAAGTTCTATCGTCACTGTTTTATTTCTAAGAGGCTCATGATATAATACTCGATTCTTAAACTAAAATAAACCTGTATCTTTTCTTGAGGGTAAATGTACTGCCTCGATTTTCCAAATTGCCATTAATAAACAATCGATAAATTAAACGTTTTGAAGAAGTTTGATCTGGAAAACGTAATTCTTTGGTAGTGTTCAAAGAAGGTAGTCAATGTTGACGTAGACAAGCACATAGGCTTAAATTACTACAGGTAGTTCTACATTACTTGAAGCGATTGTAGTCGTACAGATTTTACGTACTTCAAGAAAGAATGTCAGATTTTCTCTGTAGTCAATTAGAAAGTATGATAAAGCCATATAATGACTTTCCTGAGTTATATATCAAAGAATTAGTAGTTACAGCAAGAATTCCGCTTCACTCAATAAACATTTAGTCATATATTAATCGATCACTTTGGCGAATATTTATTATTTATTGCCTTATTATTTACACAATAGCAGTCAGATTTTGGCCACTATATGATATTGTCATCGCTCCCTATCTAACGGATAGGAATATGCTTCCGTTTTCATTTTGTTTTTGCCTTTTAGCTATAGATGACAGCCCTACTTATATGCAAGAAGAAAGGTTAGGATAAAAGTAAGACAGTATCGGAAGATTAGCTCATACTGCTAGCTACTGAATAAAAAGGAAGGTGAATGACCTGCGTTCAGTAACAGAAAGGAAGTGGATAAGTCAACGAGTGACTAAAATAAAGGATAAAGAATTCGAGGATATATGGCAAGTGACCAGTATTCCACATAAAGATAAGCTCTGAAATACTTCCTAGGCTTTATGTACAGAAAACGTTTATTACTTACTTGAAATGTAGCATGTAACAGCATCATTTTTAGCAAAAGATTAGATCAAACATGTGAGTTTAACATTAAACAATTTTTTTCATTAAAAATTACCTTTAGGTGTTTCATATGGCAAAGTTACACATAACCTTTCAGTGGTTGGGTCAAAAAAGTATTCAGCCAGTGAGTTGCCAACCATTACGATGCTGTAACGAGCCATTCCAGAGGTTGGTATTGCCATAAAATCTTCAAAGCATCTGAATAAAGGTTAAAAAAACTTTATGTATATATACATCGCATTAGTAAAGTTAAGTGGCTTCACAAATCTTACATACTTTTTGTGGCTTCTCGAAACATCTGTCATCGGCACTCAGCTGGTGAACAGTTCCTTACCCAGAAATATTTTAAAGCGTAACGTTGAAACTTTGTCATAATAAACAATATTTAGTAATTTATACAGTTGAGAAAAAGGTAAACTTACTGGGGAACGTAGGCAAATGACTAGAAAATAAACGATAGTGTCGGATGGTTTGTATAAAATATGGTGAGATGTGCATACCTGAAGCCTTCAAAATCCTTTCTCGTCGTTAAACAATGTCTTCAACACTTAAAATATCCAATGCTTCAGCTATCTTAACATCTTGGCATACAACTAGAAGACTATATCTCCTAAATAAAGTGAAAATAGTTTTCAATCTCTAGACCTACAAGAAACGCCTTCAATTTTTCATTATACTATTCAATTTATGATAACTCTGTGATCAATACATTTGTTGTTAGCAGACTCAACAGTGGGATTCGCTCAAGCAACTAAACAAATTAGTTTTAGAGGTAATTCAGTTCTACCATCACCACTCTAAATCTACTTCAGAACTGCATACTGATGACTCCCGCAAAATATATTCACCATGTACCTTCAAAACATATATTTAAAGCCAGTTTTTATTAGGGGTTGGTAGTTGAAGAGCAACTGCTTGGTTACAGCCTTTAACTGTTTCCCAACTCATTCTCAGTTTATTATAAAATTACGTTTAATTAAATTCGTTTACCAAAAATCAGTAACCAACACTTTCCCGCTTCGGCTGCTTTATAAAGCTTAAATATTGTTCTGAATGGGAAATCATCCCTGTCTGTCAGCCTTATAAGTTCAGCTTTCTACTCAGAAGTCATAATAAATACTTGAATGAAACTAATCAGTGATGATTCCATAATACATCCTGATTTATGAAATTTGAGGTTACGAATATCAATCTTTTTGGCAATAAGTATAAAAAAAATTTCTGGCTCAGTGCCATGTGACTTTCACATTGAATTACCTTCAAATTAATCCAAGCTAGCACAATTATTAAAGTCAGTAACAAATGGGAATAAATAAATTTATGGCATTTAAAACAACTGAGCATCTTAGTCCACATCTGCATGTTAAAAAACGGAATCACACAGATTGAATTTCAGCGGTCAACATACTTGTGCATGAACAATATCGCGTTACAATTTATTTTTTAATTGGTTAGCGCGTCAAAAGTAAACTTCAGAAATAAAGTCTCACTCTAAAATTTCCTGCTTATTGGGCAGATATTGCGGGGTGAATATTTGTCTATCAAAAGTCAGAAGTGGGATATAACTAGCTTGTTTTGATTCAAAATAAGACTGGATAGAAAGCATAGTTTTCCTTACTTCCTTCTTCCTCACAGAATTTATTAGTTAGTGAGTCAGAAAATAAATGCGAGGTTGAGGCAGTAGTCGACTTTTAAAATCTTCCTATAGGATAGAGAAATTTATTGTTATGTGACACGAAAAATAAAGCTCTTTATCTTATGGTACAAAATACAGTTGTTTTTGTTATTTAGCTTGAAAAGTACGTCGCCTAAAGACTCATTCCTGCCTGAAGTTATCAGGAAGTCCAAAATCTAAAACCCTAAGGATTTTCTTACAGATCCACACAACTCATCTGTATTTACTTGTGAAGTAAGTTTAGGATTATGTTTTATGTTTCTGTTGATGGGAATCTATATAGTTATGTTAGATGGTTGGATGTAACTGGTAGAAAACTCTGAACCTAAACAGTATGCTTGTTTAAACTCATTTGCAAGGTGTACCTGCTACCTGTGTGGAACTGGTGTCTCCTGAAAGATTGGTAGTTGTGTTGCCTAGTATTACAGTCAGAGGTGTTACCACTGAGCTGTTTATTTCATAATCAGGACTGGACAACGTAAAGCTGACTACTCTCTACTTACCGGTCAATGTTTATATATATATATATATATATATATATATATATATATATATATATATATATATATTTGTTAATACCGCTAAAAAGACAATTTTTCAATGCTCACGTGAAACAATAGGTTTCCTGTTATAATTTTAACACTGAAAAAAATGTTGAAAATGTCATTCTTATCATAGATGCACAAAATACGGTAAATATTTTCAGTTCTTCGATAATCCAGCTATCCTGTGAAGCAAACCTTAAATAAATTAAACCTAAGTCCTAACCTCTAAACACCAAGTTTTCTAAACTAGTGCTTATCCAGTTAAATGTTTACTAACATTGCTGTTCAGTAAAACACCAACTTTTCGTATGGATAAAAAAGCAGAAAAGATTATCAACTGTCTACCTAACCCATACAACTTATTGTATATTCGATCAAAGAAATTTCTATGAATACCCTTTAAAATCAGATATGTCAATGATAAAAAGCTTCTGCATGCATTAGTCTTCCTTCTGATGATAGTATGTTTCAAACTGCTTATCATGAGCAGGTTAAATGTTTTAGTTGATGAAAAGTGTGGAACAACAGTTTCGTTCATTACTAAAAGTTAAAAAATGCGAATTGATTACCAACTGTGACCTGAAAAATAAAGAATGAAAAACCTACCTCTGGATCACTTCTTGTTGTTTATCTGATGCTCCATACACAGGCGTTAGGCGAATAAACGAACCTTCTGGTGGTTGACGTTGACACCAGTAGGATAAAGTCCACCATGTAGGTGTTTTCTTTGCATACAGATTTGTCCATCCTTGTTCATCTTTAAAATACTGAAGATAAACAGGAAATATATACAAAATAAAACCAAAGGAATACAGTCATATTCGTTTAGTGAATCAACACAAACTCAGAGAATTAAATATTAAAATTTCCGAATCATAATGCACAATTAAGCTGAAATGATTAGCTAATTAAAATATTGTTTTGATGCTTTCATTTGCTTCAGATAATCCTTTGAAAAAAATTTGTTGGTTGTTCAGTCAGCAAATAGCAACAAGAGGAATATTGGCATTTTTTCAGCACTTCATATTCTGTTAATTTATTACAATCACTGTAGTTAATTAAAAGATGTTGTAGTAGTCACTTAAAAATTGATTCAGTAACTTTGATTCTGGAACGAATTCATTTATCAATTCAAAAGTGAATATAACTTTGACCAGCTAGTTTCATTAACCATTTTATCTGTCATACAACTTTCGTACAGTAAAACCAAAGGTGGATTACTTCATCGAATGAATTCATCTAATTTCCTTACGTTTTACTGACAATTTCTTACTTTATTCGTTATCTTATGGTTCAACTACTAGTAAGTCACTGAACACAATCATAAATCCAGTTTGGAGATTATTGGAGACTTGTTGACTTCAGGGTGGTATTCATCGCGAATTAATACCAGTTGGAGAACCACTGAAAACCTGGGGGCAGCGGATGGTTTTTCATTCTTGTATGGGACTCCTCAGCAGTGAACACCCATGACCTTAATAGGGATCGACCAGTACCCAACTCTATCAGCACAATAGCTAAGAATCTTACTGAAAAAACCAGTGGCAAAGAGCAACTGGATTGTGAGTTGCTATCATGTGGAAGGAAAACTAAGACAGCAACCTTGGTTGAAAGTCATAACAAATCCAGATTGATAATAAAAGAGTGTCTGATACAAATTAAAGGTGAGTTAAAACAACCACAGTCGATCATTTGACAATCAGTCTAACGAAATATGTACTGTTCATCAGACCTTTCACTTTTGGCAGTTGTAGCTGTAGCAATTTGAGTGACCCATGTGAAAAGTACTTCACATCTTATATGCACGAAACTGGATTTCAAAGTAAGGCAGGAATCAACATGATTCCCAGCTCATTGGAAGAATAATACAAAGGAGTGTATCTCAAACGGGAGATTCTTTGTAGACGTCAATCTCGTTATCAAGCAGAACGTAACTTATGGTCTGAAGAAGGGAATCATAATGAAATCTCAAATATGAGTTAATTCAAGTTGCATCATGTTACCAGGGGTGCCTAGTGAAGTCAGCGAATGAGTTACAACCGTTTTGCCTAACTAGTTGGCTAATTTTAAGGTTGCTTAAATAATTTGATTATCTGAACTGAATGATTTAGTCCCGAATGAGAAAATTAGACGTCTACTGCTCAAAATCATTTTAATTAGCATGACAAGTAACACTGCCGATAAGTTTGAGATGCTTGTAACCACTGATGTCAATCAGTAACGCATGTGATTCAAACTTCAAAACAAACTTTTAAAACCATAAAAACATTTCTCAGAATATATCACCACTTTTAAAGCTTAAATTGCTGAAGTTGTTTACTTTTATTAAGTAACTTACAAAGAAAGCAGTACTTGGTTTAGTTTCACTCGCCTCATAAGTATCACCACATAATGGTCGATAAAGATCAAAGCCGTAATAGCCAGGAAATGAATCTCTAAAATTCAATGAAATAAAAATCATAAGTAAATTCAGACTGTGAGATATATGAATAGCTAATAAAGGAGATAAAAATGAATTAAATGGTCAAAAACAATATAAATGCTCAATACATTGAAACGGTGGTTTGTTTCATGCTGACAACATTCGTCCAAAACTTCGCCTGCATTGCAAACTAAGAGTGTTGAAACAAACATGCGAAACAACTACACTACTATGCCTTATGAATGCTCAATAAAGTCGAATCCTATGCATTCTGATTCAAAGTTTAGAGTGGTGTTACAAAGCCATCAGATCAGTAGTCAATAGTTGACATTCATCAAAATGAATCAGTTTAAATTGCAATGGTTACAAATACTGCTAGTAAGTATCTGTTTTAACACCCAACTTGTTCATCCACATTGTTCAAAATTATTGGTTAAATCCTTCGAAAATAGTAACCCGAATGGGTTTTTCCCCAAAATCATATGCTATGATCATTTTGAAGAAATTATAAGACATTTAGCCGTTACTTTTTGGATACTAAACCTGAGAGCACTGGATAGCTGTTTCGTCCTTGCATCGGACCCATCAACAATGCCCACCCGTAACCCTGTCAGAGGTCGGACCCACAACCTTCGGCTTCCACAGTCAGCACGTTACCGTTCAGCCGACGGGTCCTTGGTTCGATCCCTGGGGGGCCATGGGTGCGCACTGCTAAGGAATCCCATACTAGGACAGAACAGCTGTATAGTGTCCCCAAGTTTCCAATGTCTCTTCAACCTACGTTAGTTCATGATGAATACTAACCTCGCACCAATAAATAAATCCCCACAAACCTCCAAACTGGGGAAAAGCCTTTCAGACTACGTGGAAAGTTACTTTGTGTGGTACAAAAACTTATTGAAGCGAGGGGATAATGCTTTAAAATGCACAACGGAATACTTTATCACGACAATTTACTACCTATTACCAGAACAATGGAAGTGATGAAGTAGTGTTGTGTGTCAGGTTCATTCCCTTTTGGGTTTGCTAAGAATTGTACAGCATCCCAGTAGGATGAATTGTGAAACTTACAGGCATTATAATGAACAAGTCACTCATAGACCATTTGGTCTTACCTAGTTGATCAGAATTCTCATCAAAAGCAAGTCTGCAATACAACAGAGATACCTGAAATTACTGTTAAATACGCTAAAGCACCAAGTTATATTTGAAAAAATATTAGCTAATCATAATAAAATGCATCATTTTGTAAAAATCACTTGCAAGAGTTAGTCAAGTAAATTGTACGCGAAAAAGAATCATTTGTGTGAACCGGCCAAGGTTGTTGAAAACTTAGATAAAAATCAAATTCTACCTACTTGATGAACATCCGAGCTTTGTAACTCTTACTCTTGTGCGCTCATAACTTTTATACAAATGAAACCTACGAAATCCATAGTAAATTATTTAAAATACTTTAGTTGTTTTTAGAAGTTTTTCAAGGCAAACAACTTGGTTATATATGATGAAAATGAGAGTCCAGAAAGAGGGGTTTTTAATGTTTTTGGTTTATTGTGTAAAAATCAGTAATTCAGTTCTTTTTGATTATTTATTACATAGAATTAGCCTAAGTTTCAAGAAATTAAATGAAAAACAAGTATAAAAGTTCTACTAGTTATCTAACATGAGTTAAATCTGTTTACTTGGAATGAAGTTATTGTGGTTAGATTTTGGCGTTCAGATTTTGTTTTTGGAAATGTAAAAATTCAAAAGAAAATTTCTATTTTACCATCTATTTTGAGACTTTTCAACTTTCTTGATAAGCTGAGTCTTTTTATAGCAGAAAGTGACAAAAGCAATAGCCAAGAATACTCTTCTACACATTACAAATTTACTCAACATAATTTTTCGTCATTCAGAAAACATTATGCAGAGAATCAAAGGAATAACGATGACTCACTTCCAACTAAGATTATCGTCATCGTCGTCACCATTATCATCATCAATGTCATCATTATCATCTCTCACTATCATTTTCATAATCGTCATTGCTACTTCTGTAGATTTTTAATCTCTTCTAACCAGTTTACTATTGCCTTTTTTTCTCTATTCTTACTCTTCATTTCTTAGTTTGTTTATGCTGTTTATTACACTATTAGATACCACGCCCCAAAAACGTATATCTCTTAGTTTTTGAAGACATGTGTGCATAAGACATAAAGAAAAACTATGCTTATATATATTCTCTCTAGATATAACAATAGCAAAACTATAGCTTAACATGCATGATGAATAAAAAATTGTTACCCTTTATGATATGATGATATGAAGAATGAATGATTGGATGTAATAACACAAAGTCTTGAGTATTGTACTTATATTTTTCAGTTAACTTGTGTATCGAATATTTTCAAATATCACCGCCTGTTTACTTAATGGCTTTATTCATATGTGATTAAAATCAGTAGACAGTGACTACATGTCCAACCGCTGAGTTGTGATTTGAAAACACTCACAACCTTTATATTCCATTGCTGCTGTACAAAGCGCAGAAAATACACCAAACAGGTTGTCTGAAATGTTTAACATATTTCCAAACTCTCTTTCAGTAGACTTAAATTCACAACCTAGTGCGCAAATTTATTTCTCTTACTTGAAACTGAGTGCCTTGCTTTTATAACTAATTAGTGACACATTAAGGTGATCAGTAATCAAAAGGATGTATGTGCTTAATCTCTCTCATAATCAATAACCACGAACCTATACCTACTAAAGACCAATACGCTACTGTTACAGATATCCAGGTGCCTTAACAGCGCTAGAAATATTAAAACTGAATGAATGAAAAATTTTCTATATCTGACCAAGCATTTCCTTGCAAAACAGTCTCAGGTGTTAACCAATATAATCGTCTATTTAGGTAAGGCGGTTAACACGTAAAACAGTTTGATATCATACAAATTGAATGAGGTATGTGTGCTCAATTTAAAGATAAATAAATAAGGCGTGGCTAAGTCATTCAAATTAATGGACATGAAAGTGTCTTTATTGCGGCATAAAAAATTTCACAGTAAGTTTAGAAATATGCCACCTATGTATCTTTGTAAGATGAACTGATCTTAAAAAAGACATTACAAAATTGTGAACATTCATGAATAGTTTGATGACACAAGGATGCGGAAATACTCTAGAATAAGAAATATCCATGTGTTGCCTTGGTAAAGGAGACGTTAAGTTGAGGCGTATTCTTATAAATGTACAAAATTTATGCTTTATCTAGAAAATAAAAAGATTTACATGGTGAATTTTTGAGTAGGTGACTTCTAGTCAACTTGTATCATCAGAGATGCATTTTTGAAAGCCTGTGGTTCACAAAATAAATAATTTTTAACACGTTAGTTTTTTCATTTTCTAATAGTGTGCTTCACAACGCTTCTCTCTTCCTGTCTGAAATTCATCTACAGAATACAGCAACATTTCGGTGAGTATTGGTGTCTCAGCTTTTACATTTATCTAGTATTCATTGGTTTGAAATTACAGCATCAACCAATCACATATGGTTATGAAACGGATTCACCAAAATATCTGTCTTAACCGACCAGATCTTACTGGCCTGTGTCTCTAGATATCTAAACTCCTTAAGAAGAGACTACTCTTTTTTCCGATAATTGCATTCTAGCAGTACTTAGTGGCAGTTGATGGTAGAACTTAAAGTTGTCACTTCATTGCACTCGTAATATATAGCAGCAGAATCCAAATGCATTTGGCGAAGGAATGTAACCACTATCATGTAATTTCAAACAAGGTACAGCAGCCGTTCCCGATTCCAGCTACAATCACAACACTTCATTTAGAAAGTCCTACCTGTAGTTGCACTTGAGCAAACAGCCAATTTATTTTCAGATAGTAAGTACAATGGACAAAAAGAACCTTTCTGAGTTTCAATGAAATAAGAGTAGGACTTTGGTATTGTGATGGCTTATTCATTGGATCCAGTATGTAGTACTGTTTCACTGAGTGACGTATAATAGATATCGTCATCCTAGTCTTAAGGATGCATCAGCCACAGCAATACAGCCATAAAAGCGGGATTAATATTTCGATAACTGATTTCTGAAATTTCATACAATTGGTTCTCTTCAAAATTTTTAGCAAAGCTAGAAAAACAAATTTTTCAGTGGAAGATGAATTCGTTAAAAGCAGTTTGACTAGTCTTCAAACTTCAAAATGTAGTGCGAAATTAAGACTATATTCAGTCCTACAGGTTAAATCCTGGAACCCTTTCAAGTATTTCCTTCTTGATTAGTTTTCATACCCAGTGTAACACCATAAAAACCGGTGAAATGAATTATTTATGACTGAGCTACCCTCAAATTTGCGTATTCTCTGAGCATATATCTTAAGGAAATTGGCGTAGCATCAGTCAACAATTTTTAGTAACTGCAGTCACTATTAAAAGTGTAAACAAGTAACATGGTTATGTAGTTGATCACCTCAAACTCTACAGAAATTCGAAACAATTGCCTTGATTTTATACTGATTATGCCTGAATTAAGTGTATTGGAATTTCGTCTTTGGAAACCGTTACTGTAACTTATCCCAGTTCCACTTCTTCAAACTCCCTACAATAATATGAATCTATTTTAGGTAGATACAATTGTATTAAATGGACTCATTGCCATTGCTGTATCTACTCAGTTCGTAAAAATTTAAACTGAGTCCGGATAAAGAAAATGAGTATCCACTTGTAACTTTCCCCATATCCAGTATCTATAGTCGACAATCTTTAGTTTTCGTACTTTTGCTATAAGTCATAAGTATTTTGTGAGAGTAGAAACAAAGCAGTGTTTACGTCCATAGTCTGTCGGATGGAATATATATCTAAACTATGACAAATTTTTCTCAACTGCATTAACTTTCCCTCTATCTTATATATTTTACATGGTTACCTATCATTCCATTAAATATGGAATACCGAAAGCCTGAAACTATGGGTAAAAGTGAGAGACAGGGTACGTCAATAAAATAAGTAGATTAACGCAAGAATGTAACTGTGACCTTAACTGGCATACACGGAATATATCAGGTATCCAGCTAATGAGCGCACATAACAAACAAATTCATCTAGTTGCCGTTATATCATGCAAATGTAAGCAATTTCGATGTTGTTGTTTAAGCCTATTTTCACTTGATAATTAATTTCACATTGTGATGATATTAATGTCCAGTTTGAAAATGAAACATCCCGTAACTCAGAGTCAGTGAAACATTTAAGCTGATCAGCTGTTAAATACGCTACATGTTCTTGTTTGAATGAAAGGCATCATTCCAAAGTTCAGCACATTAATAGACCGTAAAATTCAAATAACGATTCAACTTATACATAAGCAGTACTATGAAAAATGTATACAATACCCACGACAATTACTTACAATACGGGTATGTCGTCTGTGTATAACTTTCTCGGTGGAAATGTTGAATCCACATCATTATCCAGGCGAGTGCAACTACTTGTAGTTATAGTCGTTGAATTGTTTCCATTTTCAAGATCATGATATGCATTTGGGCTGATCTTGAAACGATGTTGTGTACCGTAAATTGTAAGCGTAGAACCATTAGGTGAAGTACAAGTAGAGCTTGAATTCTGTAAAATAAAATGATTATTTAAGATATTTAAAAGTGATTATCATGGCAACAGGATGGTTGAGATAGGGCATCACTGACATCTTTGTTATGGCTATTACTGTTGAGTCGTTGGAGGAAATAAATATTCATTTGAAAAGCGAATAACTCTTTTGTCTACTTCTATTACTCAAAACCTAAAAACTGATCATGCTTCTCTGCTTTACAATGCATCTTAACATTTTAAAATTGCTTAGCCTACACTTATGTGCTACCCTTACATGAGTGAATTACTTGATTAATTAGTCTTTCTCTTGTATTCGACCATTGAAGAAACGAAAACCGCCTCCTCTGCTAACTTATTCCAAGCATTAATTGTGGCATAATGAAAACCTAACTTAATTTAGCCACACAAAACTCTCACAGTATCACAATCACAGCTTTAAAGCTTATGTAGCCTTATTAAATAGGGAAAAGCTAACACTTAATTAAACCGTTAGTCAAATGCTTTCATGGATATTCTGCTTTTAATTGTATCACACGTACCTTCGTGTTTGGTTTTCATAAAAGTAATATGATTATTACTAAATTAACGCTCCTGAATATGTATAGAAATTCAGCATTTTCACAAATTCATCTGTAGATGAAGCTTTAATAACGCATTCTTGGAGATGTAGTTATGAAGAAATCAGCCTTATCGCAGATTGCAAATACAGTAGTCCTTGATTGGTGGTGACTAGCAATGGAGTGCAGGGCGCGCGCTTCATTCTTTTCGGAACTACTAGCCCCTGAATTGTTTCAGCAAACCAACCTACATTGCAGCTTC